GGAAATTATTTATACCGGAAATTAACAAACAAGCAGATACATAACATTATATTGTCTGGTGAAACTAACAAAAGAAAAGGATGAAAAAGGAAGCGTGCAAGTAGTTTTGATTGGTTTTTTTTTTTCACAATCACAGAATTTTTGAAGAGTTAACTTCTTTGGGAAAAAATTAGATATACATGTTTTATTGGGTGTACTTTTAGCCTACCTATGTATATCTTCAAAATTAAAAATAAACTTTATTAATATCTGTGACTATTAATTCTCATGACTTATAAGTGAAAACTGAAAGCAAATAATAATAATATGTCAACAACACTACATGTGCCATATTTAGTGTCAACGAGGCATTTCCACCAGTACCTGTGTTCATCAGGCCAGCTGCAATTGGACCAATATAATATCACCAATTTCACGAACAGTAACTGTTATGGTATGATCGAAATTAAGTAAAGAATTGTACTTATTATCAACTTATTTAGGTCATTTAAAAATCAGAATTATTTTTTATGATGATTTAATTTGAATGATCCGATTTCAACAGTCTTCATTTCAAACGATATTAATCTATACGAAATGGTGGTGCGTGCCTATGTCAACCGCGGGGGAATCGAACCCAGAATTTTAGCGTTGTAAGTCTGTAAATTTACCACTGTTCCATCGGCAGACAAAACAATAATTAACCAGACAGAAAAGAAGCGTTATTTTCATATTATAATTGTCATGTTTTTATAATAAAGTATAATGTAAAATTTTGAAGCAATTACGATTTTGCTAGGCTAATCTATCTTCATCACCTCGTGTAATCACACAATTGAACCAAAGTGATACTTGTTTGTAATTAAGTACAAAGCTACACAATGGGCTATCTGTGCTCTGCCCACCACGGGTATCAAAACCCGGATTCTAGCGTTGTAAGTCTACAGACATACCGCTGTGCCACTGGGGGGCCCAAAGTGATACACTCACTCTGATAAATTTTGGATTCTTTTGACTTTCTGTAAGCCCCGTGTCACGCACGTTTATCAACAATCCGCGAGCTTAACGTTCACACTCTCATTCAAACTCAGTATGCACTAAAAGTTTTATTCGCCTTAGTAAATCTTCCGAATTCACCTTAGAACAACTCTTAACGCCACTAGCGGGATGAAGAGAAACAGAAGTTTCTGAGTGCCCCTGGTTGTCTAACAAGCCCTTTGTTAGATTTTAAAACCATAACAACTGTCCACGATATGACTTTCTATAAGAGGGTGGAGGATCTCCCGATGGGACAGCGGTAAGTTTATGGACTCATAACGTTAAAATCCGGGACTCGATTCTCCATGGTGGACCCAGCAGATAACTATGGCTTTGCTCTAAAAAAACAATTTGAAAGTCTTTACTGTACGTTTAAATAATTTAAATGTTTTCTAATATTTCGTCGATTTTATTATCGTTTAATTTCGAAAAGACATTGATAACATGTAATAAGACTGTAATGTGTTTTCTTACCTTTAAGCTCCAAACCAAATGAACCACCTTGTAAACTCCCTTCCACAGCAGCCTTTATCCTTTCCCTGTCTCGAGAATTCTGAGCTTTGAATTTTAGCGACGCAACTAGATCGCCACCATAGGTTATACTACGAGCGTAGTGCGTGCCCATAGTATCTTTCTTGTCCCAGATTTCCAAAAGGGGTAAAATTGTTGACGGTATTGTTAATGTGGCCTGGTTGGAGTAAAAATATGAACACATGGAGTGTCAAATATATATACATATTTTTTTGTTATTTGTTTGTAATTAAGCACAAAGCTACACAATGGGCTATCTGTGCTCTGCCCACCACGGGTATCGAAACCCGGATTCTAGCGTTATAAGTCCGCAGACATACCGCTGTGCCTCTGGGGGGGGGCTACATATTTCTAAGCTGTTATTATAAAAGGTAAACGGGATTTTGTTTTTATTATACCTAAACAAACGCTTATGCATACTTTGTTTTCAATTAAAAAAGTAAAATAAGTCTGTTGGCTTTAAGCAAACGTTATCACTGAGGCATAATTGGCCTTTTTTTCGTCTATTTCCATAACATATATCGCAACTAGTAGATCAGTACATCATAATATTAAACTTAAGCACTAGTTAATAATATTTATTAAAATATTGCTTGTGTTACGTCTCCGTTCGTTAGTTGATTTTCCGTAACTTCGTTCCCACGATACTTAAGCGACACAAGTCCTTTCTTAATAAAACGGGTTTATTCTTTCTGAATATAACTTTACCGATACACTTATTTTCAACAGTCGATCTATAACAACGCTATAACAACGACGCTAACTTCAACAATACTTTCTGACTGCAGTTTAATTACTCACTACCTACACACATTATTCCGTCACGTTGTGACCATCTTATATATACCAGACACCTCTTCAGCAGCGTCATTTGTTCCCTTATTCACTTCGTCCCAACTAAAATGTCCTGGACCGTAATAACGCCAAAGCCTGTTGGCATGCCCCACTTTTGGCTTACCTCGCC